TATCCTATACTGAGTATGTCTTGGGTTTGTACATTTTAAATCAGTTTAAAACATGAAGCCAGAGAGCCACTACCCTATGACTTTCTTGCCTTGACAGAAGCATATTTATTCACTTTGCATTACTATAAGCAAACATCAGCTTATGTCCCAAGACTAAACCTAGACCATATAATTTCCTGCAGTTAGTGGCATTCTCAGAACTGTGCCAGTAGCCTGCTGCAGTGCTTCTCCAGGTGTGCTGAATATTTCAGATATCAATAGGCTGGGGCAGCCACTTCTTTAAGCTTAGAGCAGATTTTGATGGCATGTCACTAACAGAGTGGTTCTCGTATGTCTGCAGCATGTAATGATCACTCAGTGGCATGGCTGACTGTTTATATCCTGTGCCAACTCAGCTGATGTGTAATTAACATTATGTCTTGATAGCCTGCTGTTTGCGGCAACTTCAAGTCATGATTCTGACACATCGACAACAAGCAGTGAACACTCTGATACAGGGCCAAAACAACATAGATGTCTATCTTCTTCAGTTTCCAGGCATGTCATACGGTAAGTGGCCTTCATGAGCATGGGACTCTTTATGCCATCAGTCACTGGCCATTTCTTTAATGGAGTGACACTGTCTTGTACTTCGTGAAATGAAGGATCCACAGTGATTATTCGTTTTTTCTGTTTGTCTTCAGATCAATTGTAGTTGTGTGCATTAATTTGATCATGGCACCGTGACAGAGGAAATCAGAGCTTAGCCTCTAGAGACTGACAGAACTGGATTAATCACTTGACGCTGCCACTTACTAACTGTATAATTCTGGGCAAATTATATAACCTCTTTGTACATCAATTTAATCTGTACAGTGGGGATAATACCTACCCTCAAATAAACCTTATTCTGAAGAGTAAAAGAGATAATGTAGTAAAAGTGCTCCCCATAAATGCCTGCCACATTTGCATAATAAATATTAGATTAAATATAGCAATAATTGTATTAATAGGTGAGTGATTCAGGAATTTGTATATTACCACAGAATATGCAATATCTGGGGGCATACAGGTTTTTGAATAGGCATTAGCTGAATACAGAATTATGAAATAATTCAGTCTGGTTAAATCACAAATACAAGTATAGAATTTTAAAGCTACTGAATGGTTTATTATAATGAACTAAAACATATTAGTGTCATAAGTACTTTATGCCAATGATATCCTCCAAATGTAATACTAAAACACTGAATAAGCATAACAAACACATATAAGTTTAATACAAACACATGTAAGTTTTGGTAAGAGTTCAAACATATTCCTCAAAATCACTGTTCTTTCAGTTTGGCTTGAACCAAAATTTACCTTCATGAAAAACAAATGCAGCCTCTTAGACATGAAAGATCTAATTAATACTGTCACTATACTGGCTTCAGAATCTAAATGGGGTCCAAAACTAATCTTACTTAGAAGCTAAATAAACACCCCACACTGATAAGTAATTCATTTTCCCATTTTCAACTCTGATTTAAATGTTTATACAAGAGTCTTTGAAAAGTCTCTTCACCTCAACAGCTCTGCAAGTGTTCCCTTTGAACAATGACTTTGCAGCTGACCAAACCCGACTCTCAATCAATTTTTATGAGTACAAATTCTTGGGCTGATGGCTAGATCTCCAGCTATATCACTCATATAATACACACTCACAAGTGGTGATGAGATTCACATTATCACCAGAGCACCATTCTGACGATGGCGGCAGCAGACACAGCAGGGGTATACTGTCCTCTCTGAAAATGACTCCTTCACCTTTTAATAGTGCAGCCTGCAGGTACAGATCTACGAACTATTTGCCAATAGAATGAGAGCTATCTTTAAAAATACTGATAAAACTACCTGGCTCTTCCCAATGAGTCCTTCTTGCTCAATCTCCATACATACCCATCTTGATTTTGAAGTGGGTACATTCAATTTGTCTTCCCATTACATTTGGAATTGAAAGGAAGATTCAATTGTCTTTAAAACTTCAAAAAGTTGCCAGACTACTGGCGTGTAAATCTCAAAACACTTGGGCATGGGATTCTTTGTGTGAGTACACGTACTTACATATATTTGTGTAAAGATACAATGCTTAAATATGACTTCAAATTTTAAAATGATACCTCAGGTACAATAAATCTGAATTCATGATAGTTTGGTGGTGTTTCTCCTAAATTTTAATTACGGGGTATAGAGGTTTACCTCCTTTGGTTTAAATTGAATTTTGCCTTTAAAATGTTAAACATATTTTTGTTACGTGGAGAACTTTCTAGCTCTCCAAAGACATGGTTAATGTTCCTAAAAGACATACCAATTAATGATCTCAAAAGTATTCAACTTCCTTCTTTCATTTCTAAACTCTCTTATGGGGTGATAAAGTATACGTGGTTGTTTTATAACTTGATTCTTGTGATCATATGCCAGAAAATAAGGTAAGAAGCAAAGGATTACCTTGAACTTCACCTGGCCAGAAGCATGAGGTGTCCATTTGACCTCTCAAAACTGATCTGCTAAGGCCTAGTTTTCATATTAAAACAGTCAGTATATAAGAAACTCTTTAGCCTACTGTCATTTCACTGGATCTCTACACAACAAACACTCTCTGATTCATTCTTTAAAAAAATAGTGAATATGATCCAGCAATCACATTCCTTGGCATTTACCCAAAGGAGCTGGAAAGTTATGTCTATACAAAAACCTGCACACAAACGTGTATAGCAGCTCAGTTCATAATTGCCAAAATTTGGAAGCAACCAAGATGTCCTTCAGCAGATGAATAAATAAACTGTGATTCATCCAGACAATGGAATATTATTTAGTGCTAAAAAGAAATGAGCTTTTGAGCTATGAAAAAACATGGAAAAATCTTAAATGCAAATTCGTAAGTGAAAGAAGCTAATCTGAAAAGGCTACATGTTGCCTGATTCCAACTCTATGACTTTCTGGAAATGGCAAAACTATGGTAAAAAGATCAAGGGTTGCCAAAGGTGGAGGGGAAGATGAATAGGCAGAACACAGAGGATTTTCAAGGCAGTGAAAATGCTTTGTATAATGTTACAATAATGAATAGTATGTTTGTCCAAATACACAGAGGTACAACACCAAAAGTGAACCCTAATAAAAACTACGGACTTTTGATGAAGATGATGTGTCAACGTAGGTTCATCCTTGGTAACAAATGTACCATTCTGGTGAGTGTTGTTGACAGTGGAGGAGGCTATGTCTGGGGACAGAGGATATATAGGAAATCTCTGTACCTTCCTTTAAATTTTGTTGTGAACCTAAACTGCTCTAAAAAAAAATATCGACTAAAAGGTATGATATGTTGAACATCTGTGGTTACTGGGTGACATTCTCATGTGCTCTCATACATATTTCCACCAGTTAAACTCTAGGCTTGCTAAGAGTCAGTAGGGTTTGCTTATTAGGCCAATAACATCAGCTATTGAACTTATGGGATGGGAACTTATGAGATTCTATGTAAATGAATGACATATGACTATGAAAAAGAAGCTGCACTTCCTACAAAAAATCAGTTGAATGCTTGGAAAGATTTGACAAAGACAAGTCACTAACACAAACTTGTCAAATTAGATGTGGGTGAGACATCTATAACTGGAGAAAGATCTGCACTCAAACTGCCTGGTAAATGCATTTCAATTCTTGTGCCAATGTCAAGAAATTAAACCTGGAAACCAAAGAAGATGGCTTATAGGTGTGGTTTTTGGAGGAGGATCACTGAGAACTCCCCACAGGGAGCCCTTTCTCAAAGCAAGTGCTTGGGGTTTATATCAGAAGATTGTCAGTGTGTGTGCGCACGCACATGTGTGTGCATCTCTTAGTAAACTCGTTGACCAAATATTGGTTCTATTTACATAAGAAAAAGTCACACTTTACCCAGGGGAAAAAAGCACTTTTGATGAAAAGGTTATACTTTTCGTGAAGTTACCACGCTACTATGGCACATCAATAAAATAATTTTATCCAGCAGTTGATAGATGGCTTTATTTCTGGAAGACAGCAAATAATTTTCTTTCCTTGGAATTTCACCATGTTAATCTGATCTGGGCTATTTAAACTACTTACGTGTGAATAGGAATTGATGAGATTTTACAGACTGTTTTGTGTTAAGGATCCCAAGAGAGCTTCTCTTTTCATATATATTCACTGGGAACAAAACAGCTTGGATTTATCATGAAATGGAATGACTATTACTCAAATTTATTCTTTAATGTAACTTTAACTAAATGAGTATATTCCATGAGCAAAGGTCATCCACGATTCAAAAACCAAACCAAAACAAAAAAGAGTCAACTGAAGTGTACATTCCAATATCCTGTCTACATTCAGAATACTATCACAAACAAATCTACCAGTCAAGGTAATTTAAAGACCTGTACATGTGAATAAGTGATATATATGGTACATTTTTATAAAAACGCATGTTTCTATGTATTAAGTTTTATCTATGAACTATGGAACAATGCAGTGACTCTCAAGGTATGCTCTTGGGATCCCGGAGCTCTTCAAGATCCTTTCAGGGACTTGGGAAGTCAAAACCATTTTTCTAACAATATTCAAACATCTTTGCCTGTTTCACACTTACTCTCTCAAGAGCGTATAGCGGAGTTTTCCAGAGGCTAAATTTCACCTGAGATTGCGACAGATTGAAGGCAGAAGCTGATGTGAAAATGCAGCTGCATTCTATTTTATTAAGCCAGAATATTAAAGAGGGGTACAAAAGCACAAAGTAATGCCACTCATATCACTAAAATGTTTGGCCTGAAAAATAGTTATTTTAAATAAAAAGGTTATTTGCATTGGCATATAATGGGCTTACCAATTTTATTTTAAAATGAATTAAAACATTTTTTAAATTTCTCAGTTTTAATTTCTGATACAGTAAATATTGATAGATACAACCCACAAAAAACTTGAGAATGGCTTAGAGTGATTATGTGACAGGAAAAAAGTCTACTTACCTGAACAAGAACAAAGTAACGTTTTTTCCATCTTTTCCAAACCTTCTGTCCAAGGGCATACAGATATCTGGTAAGAAAAACAAGTAAAAGAATACTTTACATGAATGGTGTGGTTCCATGTAATCGTATTTCTTCCATAGGTATTCATTCTTGCAACGAGCCTGCTAAAGGCAAAGTTTAGTTCATTTGGAATCTGTGACAGCACGCAGCTTCTGTGTTACAAAATGACTGAGCCTGTTCTACGGCTTTTGAAAGGGAATTGATTTATGTGGCTTGTCAACTGTCAGTTCTTCCCACAAACTGAGCGAAGTTGGAGTTAGAAAGGATAATCAAAGAAGCAGTAGGAATTTTATTTCTTATACATATTTCTTAGGAGAGACAAAGGCTACGAATTGAGGCTACAGTACCAAATGTTTCAGCTCTCAGCTGACCGGGGCTGAGGAGTGTGGCCTCGCAGGCAGCTGGCTGCAGAGTCCAGAACCCATGGAGAAGGGTCGCTGTTCAGCTGAGTGTTCCCGAGATGTGCCTGCACCAATCTCAGTTTCCATTTCCTCAACTATCAAATGAAAGGACTGGATGTGATGATTTCTGAGGTCCCTGCCAGCTCCATAATTTGGAGACTTGCCTGACTTATGCAAGCCTCTTACTGCAAATTTTCCTAACTATGAAATTTAGATACTAATGAAGATGACACTGTACAATTTAACACAGTTTCAACCAAGGCTTTTGTTTAACTTTGCACTGCTATTAGTAACCTAAATTGAAATGATTCAAGTAGTCAATCACTGGAGAAGAGAACTTTTGTTCTTACTGAATATACAGATGTAAGCTTAAGTATCAAGGAGGAAAGAGAAGAAATTAAAAATTAATCAGGTATGAGTGTGTCATGGAGGGCTATTTAAAATTATACCACATACCTCCTACAAAAGTGGGAAACATTGTTAGAAGTTTAAAATATGACAAATAGAGAGCTAATTTTTAAATTAAAGTAAGACTTTTCAGTATTTTATCACAATCCCTTTTTCTAATGTGGAGGTTTAACACTGCTGAGGCTATTCAAACTAACTTAATTTATAAACAATTCTGAGTGATTTAAGAAAAGGACTATAGCTAATAGTTTGTTTAGGGGCTTAAAGTCTTCAGACTTTCTCTCAATTTTTAAAACTGAAAACTTAGCTTGAATTTTTAGTTTCTGTCTTATGAAAATAATTCTCTTTTGTAAAACAAAACAAACATACTCTGCCCCCTTTTGAAAAAAATATGGGATATTAGCTAAGGTGTGCTGAAATGATGGGATTTCTTATTCACTGCTAGTGGAGTGTAACATAAGACCACCTTCCTGTAGGATAACAAGGCAGTATATAGAAACGGTCTCCACCTCTTCATCATGGAATTACGGAAATAATTAGATACATACACAAAGATGTATGCTACATGGATACTTAGAACAGCGTTATTTATATTATGAAAAAGGTGACAACTTAAATGTCCAACAGTAGGTGAATGTTTAATAAATGCTAGAAAATGCATAGAAATACTATGCCACTGAAAAAATATTTTTGATAAAATAACATAAAGAAAATTTCATTGCATAATATTATGGGAAAAGAGCAGATTCAAAACTATTGATACATAAATACTTAGTGATTGGAAATTTGTAAAAAATATACAAAATAGATATTCCAAAATTTTAGTAATAGTGCCTTTGAGTGGTGGGATTATGGAAGATTTAAGTTGCCTTCTTTATTCCCTGTATTTCTAAATTTTCTGAATAAAAACATACACAAACATGGGGTTACTAAAAGTCGACATAAATCCTAGGCTCTTGCCTAGAAAGCATCACCCCAAACTGCCCAAATTAATTATATATTTTCTTTCTCTCAGACACATCAGCTAGCTGAAGGGTTTGGCAAACTTCTATTTGGTTCTCACAATACCCTTGATGACCTATCGTCTGCGCTTGTGGATGTAATGCGAATACATTTAGAGTCTATCAGAAATATCTACCGCTACTGTTCTCACCTGTTCACTATCTCCTCCTGAGGGCCCCTTGAAACCCTTTGCCCCATCTTTGCTCTAGCCTCTAATTTCTCTTCTATGGTGCCAGTGATAGGTGTTTAGTTGCTCTCTTTCTGTCTTCCCTATGTAATTTTCCTCTGCTGAAAGGCATACACCCAAGCTCCTATTACAGGGTTAACAGCAATGACCTCAGGAGCTATACACTGTGGACACGACAGATGCTCTCTGTACAAGTTCACTAGCAAGGAGTACACCAAATAGCTGCTGAGGAGCCAAGAGGGCATCTGGAATAACCTCTGCCTGTGACCACAGGCTGGTTCTTCAACGTGTCTCACTTAGCATGCTGCTGGGCTACTAGGTCAGACATAAGTGAAAGTGAATAGGGATACACAAACCATCAACACCACAAGCAAGTGTAAGTCTTGCTGACAGTGAAGGTTCTGCATAAGGGATAATACTGTCATCTGCAACCTCATTAAAAATGATGCCTCACCACATTTGGAATGAAAAGGTATGGTTTCTGTGAAGACAGAAAGCAGAGGGGTGGGTGGATGTACACGTGTATACTGAAAGATATTATTAGAATAAAAGACAATTCAAGACTGGAACCAAGGTAAGCATTTGAATGTTGGGCCTTGAGGTATTATGGACTATTGCACTAGAATTCAACAGAATATATACAGAAGAAGTCACAATTGATCAAACATTTCTAGAAAGGAATTGCTCATAAGAGTTTTAGTCTCTATAGAAGAAAAAAATTACATTCAACAAAAGTAAACATTTCTGCATAAAGGAAATGTTACAAATGCTATGTAGGAAAAATATGATAGCACCTGCCCTTTAGTTTTCATATTAGCCAGACAAAAATTTTACATAAAATTTTTTTGAACATATATAAAAGATATCAGAAAAGTTAACTATACTGAATAAGAACAGATTAAACTTCAACAACTCTGAGTTTTTTCACTATAAGCATGAGTTCTGGAATCAGGCATCAATATCACCATCTAGCTGCTTTTTCACTGTATAAAAGCAGATACTTGGTGTAAAAGACATTTAAAATTGAGGGGAGAATGAAGAAAAAAGATGTTCATCAATGTCATTTAAGAGTAAAAATTCAAAAACCATCTAAGAATCAAGCAGTTAAAATGATTACGTTGCCATTAAGAGTGATGCCAAAAACAAAAGCCCAGGACCAGATGGCTTCACAGGCGAATTCTTTCAAACATTTAGAGAAGAGCTAACACCCATCCTTCTCAAACTCTTCCAAAATATAGCAGAGGGAGGAACACTCCCAAACTCATTCTACGAGGCCACCATCACCCTGACACCAAAACCAGACAAAGATGTCACAAAGAAAGAAAACTAGAGGCCAATATCACTGATGAACATAGATGCAAAAATCCTCAACAAAATACTGGAAAACAGAATGCAACAACACATTAAAATGATCATACACCATGATCAAGTGGGGTTTATCCCAGGAATGCAAGGATTCTTCAATATAGGCAAATCAATCAATGTGATACACCATATTAACAAATTGAAGGAGAAAAACCATATGATCATCTCAATAGATGCAGAGAAAGCTTTTGACAAAATTCAACACCCATTTATGATAAAAAAATCCTCCAGAAAGTAGGCATAGAGGGAACTCACCTCAACACAATAAAGGCCACATATGACAAACCCACAGCCAACACTGTCCTCAATGGTGAAAAACGGAAACCATTTCCACTAAGATCAGGAACAAGACAAGGTTGCCCACTCTCATCACTCTTATTCAACATAGTTTTGGAAGTTTTAGCCACAGCAGAGAAGAAAAAGGAATAAAAGGAATCCAGGGCTTCCCTGGTGGCACAGTGGTTGAGAGTCTGCCTGCCGATGCAGGGGACATGGGTTCGTGCCCCGGTCCGGGAAAAATCCCACATGCCGTGGAGTGGCTGGGAAGCAGCCGCATAGCACAGGGAGATCAGCTCGGTACTTTGTGACCACCTAGAGGGGTGGGATAGGGAGGGTGGGAGAGAGGGAGACGCAAGAGGGAAGAGATATGGGAACATATGTATATGTATAACTGATTCACTTTGTTATAAAGCAGAAACTAACACACCATTGTAAAGCAATTGTACTCCAATAAAGATTGAAAAAAAAAAAACTACAATGAGCTATCACCTCACACCAGTCAGAATGGCCATCATCAAAAAATCTACAAACAGTAAATGTTGGAGAGGGTGTGGAGAAAAGGGAACCCTCTTGCACTGTTGGTGGGAATGTAAATTGATACAGCCACTTTGGAGAACAGTATGGAGGTTCCTTAAAATGCTAAAAATAGAACTATCATATGACCCAGCAATCCCACTACTGGGCATATAACCTAAGAAAACCATAATGCAAGAAGAGTCATGTACCACAATGTTCATTGCAGCTCTATTTACAATAGCCAGGACATGGAAGCAACCTAAGTGTCCACCAACAGATGAATGGATAAAGAAGATGTGGCACATATATACAATGGAATATTACTCAGCCATAAAAAGAAACAAAACTGAGTTATCTGTAGTGAGGTGGATGGACCTAGAGTTTGTCATACAGAATGAAGTAAGTCAGAGAAAAACAAATACCGTATGCTAACACGGATATATGGAATATTTTAAAAAAAAAGTTTTGAAGAACCTACTAGAGAATGGACTTGACGACATGGGGAGGGGGAACGGTAAGTTGGGACAAAGTGAGAGAGTGGCATGGACATATATACGCTACCAAATGTAAAACAGATAGCTAGTGGGAAGCAGCCGCATAGCACAGGGAGATCAGCTCGGTGCTTTGTGACCACCTAGAGGGGTGGGATAGGGAGGGTGGGAGGGAGGGTAATGCAAGAGGAAAGAGATATGGGGACATATGTATATGTATAACTGATTCACTTTGTTATAAAGCAGGAACTAACACACCACTGTAAAGCAATTATACTCCAATAAAGATGTTAAAAAAAAAAAAAAAGACTGAGGCCAGAAAGAATGATAATGGAAAATCATAATAATGTTGTTTTTA